CTGCGTTGGTATTTCGGAAGTAAAATGGCTGTTGAGGAATGTTAGTAATGTGAGGAATGCTCACATTAGGAAAATGGCTAATTATCACCTGAAAAGTTGCAAGATTTTTTGAGCATCTTGCTCTTCCAAGTCTCGCTGTATGCCATTGTTCAGCTTCTTAGTTTTATAAACCTTATAGCAAAGCATCCAATAAGATGAAATAAATGAAACCCATAAAACTGGAGGTTTGAATAATTCTGCTCAAGGTATTTTATGAAAATAATAAAATTCATCATAAAGGGATTTGTAAAGAATCAAGCAGGTCTGTATTAAGGATCAGATGGCTGAGAATCAAAAAACCTTTTTCAAGTACAAATTGAAATGATTGAATTTTGAAACAGATATACTGAACAAATATTAGCATTATTGAATCCAGAAAAAAATAAGGATATATTTTTATTAATAAAAGATATTGTGCTCCTGTGGTCTTCTGAACTCTGTCAGTAACTCTTGTGGGTTAGATGCAACTGGCAATATGTAGTTAAACTGGGAACTTACAGGAATCTTTGTAAACCATTTTTATGCAGCTATTTTTGTTATTCTAGTTTCCACAGTAGCATTTAAAATAAAATATGATTATTGCAATTGCCAACATTTGTTAAACCTAGAACAAAATGTAATCAGTTCTTTGTATTGAGTCCAGATGTGCGTCTGTATCCCTGTCACCATAAAACATGTCTGTTTGTAAACCTACATACAGCGGGCCCTACTGGGATTTGGTTTCAGGACTGTCTGTGGATGCCAAAATCTGGAAACTCTAGTCCCATCATATACAGTGGCATAGTAAAATTGATTTTTTAAGGGGAAATAGTTCAAAGCGATGGATGATTGAACCTGTACATACCAAATTCTGTGGATATGGAAAACCAATATAGCTTAAATATTTTGCATAAGTACTATGGAAATGAACAGTATTTTGAAAATATAAAATCATAGTATGGCAATCCCAATAGTATCTGTATTTAAGAGTCTCAGACCTTGAGAAACAGCATAAGGAGTACGGTAATGCAATGGAATTAAAAGAAAAGTAGTAGTTTAAATGGCCACAGCACACAAATTACCTCTTAAACCTTGAACACACTGAAACCCTCAGAAACATCACAATGATGACAAGACTTGCCCTGGTTTAGATGTAACAGAAAACAATGATTTCCTGTTGTGACAGTGAGTTGACCCAACTTTGGATTTGCATGGTCTCCCCCTTCTTTACCTCTTTGTGTAGAAGATGAGATTTCATATTTAAACTAAGCACTGTTCTTTGTGATGTATAAACTTTGGTATAAATGTTGGTAACTATTCGACTTGTTCTCGAAACAAAGTATAAAAAACAGTAATTCTTTACGTTCTTTATGTCCCTGTCCCCATCCCCCATACGCACTATTTTTATACTAGGATGTCAATATTTGCTTCAAATACTATTCAATTTGTTTATTTATTTACTTGCTTTTAAAATAATCTACTTTTCTCCAAAAGCGAGACTCATAGTATATTCAGCCACAACCAATGCATTCTAGTCACATAAAGTGAAAGCGAGCTTGTTAGGGAAGTTTTCCTCATTTTAATTTTCTTTATGCATACTGACGTTGAAAAATTACTAGAATTCACCTAGCAGTAATCTGTCTAAATGTTGTTTACTTGCTGATTGTGCTGTTGATGAAATATGAAGCAATCTAAAGGTTTTAGAAAACCACTGAATGGTTAACCTTCTACTTGTGATGCAAGCCAGTGGAAGGAGTTGTGAGATAGTTGGTTCAGGGTGGCCTTTGACCACACATCCATTAAAAGAATGTTAACCTCATATGATGATGTACCCTGCAGCCACATCCATGTGGTCCAAATGTTTCGCCATATGGGAGAATCTCTATTTGGACCAAGATCCTTTCTTCGCATAGTATATATCCCATGAATATAGGACCCATGGAAGAAGAGTATCACCACTGGATTGTTTGAGAGTGGGCTGTCCTATGTAATCCTGAATTCGCTTACATATACTTTAAAGGCTCCTGTAGGAGTGTTACATGTTGACTTTCTGATTATGTATTGCATAGAGTATTAAGATGAGATTCTGCCTCCAGCTTCTAATGGTATAGTCATAACAGGTGATAATATGTCTTGATCTGTGAACCATTATATTTCAATGGGAAGTGTGGGCCTGCTTTTGGCTGATGAGATCGTCAAGTTAATTAAGATTGTTGTTGTTGTGTTCCTTCAAGTCATTTCAGACTTAGAACAACCCTAAGTCTAAAGTTTAGGGTTCGGTTTGGGTAAATGACTTGAAGAGGGCTGCATCTGGCCCCTGGGCCTTAGTTTGGGGATCCCTGGTGTAGATCAACAGAAATACAACAGATCAGTACCCTGCTGTTTTTTAAAAGACACATATAAGTAATTCAGGCAAATAGTTGGTGAAAAATTATCCTATGTTTACAGTAAGACTAGCGTGCGACACAATGTAGCCTTGGTGCCATACATTCTGAAGTACTGATTCCCCATAATCTCTTGGAGCTTGCCATTGTAAGGAGGTTGGTGGCAAATGCCATTCTTATTTGGCATCAAGGATGGGAAAAACATAGGTCTCCTGAATTTTTAAGACTTTTGGACTTAATTTTGCCCACCAAGGTGATTTTATCTTCAGACTGAACCACCATTTGATTTTTTTTTCTCTGTGAAATTTCTGGGGTTTTTATTTTCTGTGGCTACTTTAAAGCTGTAGGACAAAAGCAGCTTTGCATCCTAATCTCAGTGTTTTCATTTTCCCAGTAAATCAACATACATTCCATGTATAATCTTTCCTTACTTCAGCAGCTTTATATGAGGTCAATAGTTCTTGTTATAGAAACCAGAGTTTGTAAGAGTTGCAGATCAATTCTAAACTTTGAACTGCAGTCCATGAAGGACTTGTGACATGACAGAACCCCAACCAATGCTCAGGAACAATTGTAACTGTAAAAATTTACAGATAATAGCTTTTGATTTACAGATAGTGGGATATTCTTAGTCATGTAGATCTAATTGTTCAGACTGTAGAAAGCTAGTTTTTTAAACTATTCTAACAATGCAGGAGAGGTTCTATAAATGAAAACTACAGCAGAGCTCCAGAGAGAATAGGAAATAAAAAGGCAATATTTCTGTTCAATTCAGTGGCACAGCAGGTTAAAACACTGAGCTGCTGGATTTGCTGGCCAAAATGCTGGCAGTTCGAATCCGGGGAGCAGGGTAAGCTCCCACTGTTAGCCCCAGCTTCTGCCAGTCTAGCAGTTCAAAAACATGCAAATGTGAGTAGATCAATGGTGAGTAGATCAATGGAAGGTAATGGCTCTCCATGCAGTCATAATAATAATAATAATAATAATAATAATAATAATAATAACAACAACAACAACAACAACAATAATAATAATCCTTTATTTGTACCCCACTACCATCTCCCGAAGGACTCAGTGCGGCTTACACGAGGCCGAGCCCAAATACAACAATAAACAACAACAATAATACAGCAAAATAAACAAAAACAAGCAATAAACATTAACAACACACAGTGGCACAGTTAAAAACAATGGCCTGGCCAAATGTAATAATAAAAATTAAAATTAAAAGTGCTGGGCATGACAGGTGGGATGTTTGGAGGGGATGGACATGCAGATATCCTAGATCTCTGATAAAGTGCATTGGGACATAATGCTAGGAGTATCCTTATTTGGAAAGGCACACTGGAACATCCACGTTTTCAAGCTCCTCCTAAAGATTGCTAGCGATGGGGCCGGCCACATGACCTTGGAGATGTCTACGGACACCTGGCTCTACAGCTTAGAAATGGAGATGAGCAGCCCTCCCTCCCCCCAGAGTTGGACATGACTAGACTTCATGTCAAGGGGAAACCTTTACCTTTTGACTAATTTCTATCATTCCAGCTGCCATGTAAAGATTCAGGTGTCACCTTTTCAGTATAAAAATAATTGTGATTTTGAATGGGATAAGCTTAAGGACAGTTTTGCCACTTTCTACTCCACAGGCCACACTTTACCCACCCATACCAAAAGGGAAGCTCTCCTAAGGAAGTCCTTGAAAGTTTGACCAGGAAAAGCCTTTTTTTAAAAAAAAATCCAGAAGTTTGTTGCTCTAACATTCTTGAAAACAAATGGAATTTATAGGTAATATAGTCAAAGTATGTCTGATGATATCTCATTCATTGTGATGAAGGCCAATGAATGCTGTTTCCTCCACCAAAATGCCTTTAGCTCTTCTAATCTCTGCCCTTCTTCCTCCAAGCATGCCCTCTAATCAAGTTACTTCATTCTTTCTTTGCACATGAGATTTCCAATCCTCCCCATTGTTTTGTTTTCTCTCTCTCTGTCTTCACAGTTGGATACATTTTTAAAATGCTGTTGTAAATCCTGAGAGTTGTGGGAGGGAGGGGTAGGTTTCATGTCAGAAGCGACTTGAGAAACTCCAAATTGCTTTGGGTGTGAGAGAATTAGCTGTCTGCAAGGACGTTGCCCAGGGGACACCCAGAAGTTTTTGATGTTTTACCATCCTTGTGGGAGGCTTCTCCCATGTCCCCGCATGGGGAGCTGGAGCTGATAGAGGGAACTCATTTGCGCTCTCCCTGGATTTGAACCTCCGACCTGTTGGTCATCAGTCCTGCCGGCACAAGGGTTTAACCCATTGCACCACTGGGGGCTGTGGGAGTCGTGGTAGTTGAGTGCTATAGCTTCTTTGATTAAAAATGAATAGCTATTGTTCAAATAATGAACTATGAAGAAGGTCCCCAGTTGCCTCATTTCAAATCCAGATCACTGGTATACCTAGCTCATGTTTAATATTCTGCTCTATCCTCCAAATGTAACAATCTATTTCACTAAACAAATATTTGACAGCCTTGGCACTGGATGCATGCGTGATACTTTGAACCTGTGCAAGCAAGATAAGCAAATGATGTTTTTTTTTAAAAAAAATTATTTTAGAGCTTGGATGAATATGATGACGACGAAGCAGGACAGAAGGAACGTAAAAGGGAAGATGCAATCACACAGCAGAACACAATGCAGAATGAGTCAGGCAGTGCAGACTCAAGCGCCTCATACATATTACAGGTATGTATTTAGCCTCACAATCCTGCTTCTTATTGTAGAATCTGTATAGAAATTTGCACACCTTTTAAACATTTTGGCATCTGAGTAATTTCAGTACATTTCCAAATATATAGCTACAACAGCATAATGCTTGTTGCTACAATACTTTTTGTGTGTCATGAGCAACTTGAGAAACTGCAAGTTGCTTCTGGTGTGAGAGAATTGGCCATCTGCAAGGATGTTGGCCAGGGAACGCCAGGATGTTTTTTGATATTTTACCATCCTTGTGGAAGGCTTTTCTCATGTCCCCAAGAGACATGAGAGAACAGAATTCTTTATCTATATTATCAGTTCAACAAGTCTTTTTATCAAATGGGATTTTATTAGATCTACAGGCTTGTCCAAATGGTCCCTCAAAAATTACACCCACAACCTCCCCAGTAGGGTGCCCCTTATCCTTCTCCAAATGCCTGCATTCAGAAAAAAGTCTTGATCTGCTTCCCTAAGGTCAGCAGGGATGGGGTCATTCTGGTCTCCCTTGGGAGAGAGTTCCACAGTCTGGGAGCAGCCACCAAAAAGGCCTCTCCCATGTTCCCACCAAACACTCTTGAGCAAGTGGTGAGACCTAGAGAGTGCCTTCCCCAGTAGAGCATAGATCTCTACTAGGTTGGTAGAAAGATATACAGTCCTTCATATAACCTGGACCAGAGCCATATAGGGCTTTGTCAGTCAAAACTAGCACTTTGAATTGTTCCTGGAAACATGTTGGCAGCCAGTGGAGCTGTTGCAGCAGAGGAATTGTTGACTCCCTGTAGCCAGACCCAGTTATCAGTCCAGCTGCTGCCCTTTGAATGAACAAAATTTTCTGAGCACTTTTCAAAGGCAGCCCCACATAGAGTGCATTACAGTAATCCAACCAGGATGTAATTTAGTCATGTACCACTGTGGCCAGATCTGACATCTCAAGGAACGGGTGCAGTTGGTGCACTAGCTTTAATTATGCAAAAGCACTTCTTATGTCTGGGCCTCCAGGTTCAGAGACGAATCCAGGAGTAATGCCAAATATATAATATATTGTGGTATATACTCATATATAGATCAACCTCAAGTTTTAGTTTAGTTCAGCCTTTCAAAATACTCTTCAAATTTAACTATTCAAATGATATAGCCTATGTTTTCCTTTACATTTTTGCATAGTTAGTAATGCTGTCTTTAAAAGTAGGAATAATTGCATTTTCAGCTGTTATGCATCCAGTATCTATTATCGTTTTCCATTTTGGGTTTTCTTGGTAATAATAATGCAATGGCTTTTTAAAAACAGCCCTGTGGTTTGTGCAAATTGCATGCCTGAAAAATTTCCTGTGGAGTTACAGCATTGTTAGCCAACAATAACACACTGACATACAGAAGGGGGCAGCACTGTAGTCTGTAGGTTTGGATATTGTTTATTCTATAGTGTATTTCTGTTTGTGACATACTTGTCGAAATTAATTCCAGATTTTATTTATTTATTTGACCACTCTTTTTCTGGGAGTCCCTGTTTGGATGTTTTATATGAGATACAAATTATGAGGCTTGTCTAGGGAATCAACTTGAAAACTGTAACTACCTTTCCCAACAGATTTGGAAGTAAAAAGTTCTGCTTAATCAAGAGATAATGCTGATGATGTATTACCATGATGCAATCTTCATCATTACCATTATTTATGTTAGAATGATTCAAAATTTTTAAAAAAACCCAAAAACACCTGAAATGCTGATACATTAATTGGGTGGCAGAGTGGGCTAAACTACCGAGCTGCTGAACTTGCTGAAAGGTTGCCAGTTCAGATCTGGGGAGAAAGGTGAACTCCCACTGTTAGCCCCAGCTTCTTCTAACCTAGCAGTTTGAAAGTATGCAAATGTGAGTAGATCAATAGGTACTGCTTCAGTGGGAAGGTAACAGTGCTCCATGCAGTCATGCCGGCCACATGACCTTGGAGGCATCTATGGACAACACTGGCTCTTCAACTTAGAAATGGAGATGAGCACCACCCCCCCAGAGTCAGGCATGACTAGACTTCATGTCAAGGGAAAACCTTTACCTTAATTCTAAGAATCTACAATGTACTGTGCATACACAGTAAAAAAGCTTGAAGGGATATTTAGTTATATTGTATGAAATGTGAATCCATATAACCTTTTGAGTTTGTAAATGTTTTGTTTCCATTTTTCTTGCTACTTAATTTTATAATTTCTGGGTGTGGCTTGTAACAATAGGGGGGAAAATCACCATGTAGTGGTTTGAATGTTGGTCTATGAGAGAGAGGTGGCAACCTGTAGCTTTCTAGATGTTTTTGGATTACAGCTCTCTTCACCACTGGCTATACTTGCTGAGGGTGATGGGAGTTGAAGTCAAGCAACATCTTTGTAAGTCTAAAGTTTGTGCTGTTGGCTGATACTTGTCTATCTCAATAGTGATCAGGTTTCTAGCTTGAGGTTTCTGGCATTTCACTGATTTGGACAGGCTGATAGAGGGTAGGATGAGAATTTTGGACAGTTTCCTGAAAGCCCAGAGTGGACTCACCATCCCACTAACACGGGAACCACCAGCTGCCATTCCATATGTTTTGGTTCATTAAAATCAGTTCAGAATAAAATTGGTCAAAAGTAACTTGTTATGACATTTCAGTTGGTTTGTATGGCTAAATCTGGACCCAACCAGTAATCTGTTTTGTAGTGCATTCATTTTCTTTCCCACTCAATGCACTGCTTGTCACTCTTCTCTCTAATCTGGCAGTTAGCTAACTCAGGTTGAGGAGTAACTATACTAGTTAGAATTCAAACATCACTGATGTAGCTAATTGTATTAAGTAATCCATTGGTTTCCAAATGACATAGATTTGCCCCTGTTTTTCAGATTCCAACATTCAGTTTCTGTTCAGGAGGCAGTGAATGAAGTTATAGGCTAGAGTGGCTTCCTGATTAGGCTCCAGCACTGTTCACTTTCATGAGACTGTAGATGGAAGTTCTGGCGAGGTTGTTTTTAATTTCAGGCTCCAGCCAATTATATTCAAATATTTCGCTGCAAGTAATGGGCAACAATATGGAAAGGGTCTTCATCTGGCCCTTGATTTATTGTTATATAGCCATGCCACTTGTTAATGTTATTGTTTTTGAATTATTTTGTAGTTACTCTGTTTCTGTAAAAACATAGATAATCACTCATTTTTCTTTAAATATTTATACACAACCGATTTAGAAACATGCAGCCTTCTCAGTACAGACACTTTACACATGAAGATCATAATTGTAAGTCATCATGAAATATTATTTTAGAGTAAGACCTAAAAAGAATTCTCCTAAAAAGGTTTGATTGTGTGATCATGTTTGTTTTGTTTTTTACCAGCTGTGCTCTGATTCTTGACCCAGCTTTATAACCCCTGGGTCTGCAGAATACTAAGGCAACTTTGCCCTTGCATTAATAATATAATAAATAATAATAAAACCCTGCCACCATCTCCCCAGTGGGGACTCGGGGTGGCTAACATGAGGCCAAGCCCAACAATTACAACAAATCAAAATAAAATACACACAGCAAATAATAATATCAAATTAAATACAGAGAAAACAAATTAATAGACAAACAATACAGGAAATGAAATAAAATAAGAATGTGCACTTAAGAGATAATATATCAAGGACCTGGATAATTCCAGGCAGAGATTTTCTTGGCACAATGTCAATCTAAAACAGCAGCAATTGCACCCAAAGGAGCTCAGAAGAATCATCCAGATTCTTCTGGGAGAAAACATTAAACTTTACCCCATTATCCTTGGAAGGGCAACAGCACTTGATCTAGATTGATCAGAAAATTATCCATACATGACAAAGGAGTTATTTTAAGTCACTTCCACAGATGAATTTTCCATATGTTGTTGTTGTTGTTGTAGTTGTTGTTGTTGTTGTTGTTGTTGTTATGATTATTATTATTTCTCAGTCCACTGGGGCCTTTAATACAATATAATGTGTTAAAGTTATTTTGAAAAGATCTAAATAACCACAGTAGCACAGTAGATAAAGCCACTAGCTGCAGGAAAAAACTGCTGACCAGAGGGTCAACAGTTTGAAGCGCGAGTTGGGGTGAGCTCCTGACTGTCAGTTGTAGCTTCTGCCAACCTAGCAGTTCAAAAGCATGCAATGTGAGTAGATCAGTAGGTAAAAGGGTGCCCCATGCAGACATGCTTGCAAAAAGATCAGAGATGTTTTTGAACAGTTGACTCCTCCAGCATGGAAAATAAAACAAGAGTGACTCCCCATGGCCAGAAGTTGAGCATCACCTCCAGATGCTGGAGATGGATAAAGGAGAAGGCCTTTACCTTATCTCTGTGTTGTATGTTGTTATTCATGTAAAAAGGCATTGAATGTTTGCCTCACATGTTTACTGTAATCTGCTCTAGTCTGTCCAAGGAGATAAAGCAGAATATAAATAAAGTGTAATAATAATAATAATAATAATAATAATAATAATAATAATAATAATAATACATTTGTAAAAGCTAATTTCAAAAATCCAGTGGCCAGATAGAATAATAGCTATACAATTTGCCAAAAGCTCTGCTTTGTCTCCTCACAAACCTAGTTTCTTCTGGTGGTGGACAGTTTCTGTTGAAAATCTGAAATTTTGGACAAGGTCATATATGAGGATGAAGTGTTCCAGATACCATGGTCCCAAGCTGTTATTATTTTAATTAGAGGTTCCCTCTCTGGGTTCCTTTAATTCTGTATTAGATGACTGAGTTGTATTTTAGTAAAGCAAGCCAACCAGTTTTAATACACCTTCTCCAAGATTTTGTTATGATTATTATCCCTGAAGGGCTCAGATACTTAGCTAATGTATATTTCTTTTTACAAAGGATAGTGAGTAGATTTTTGCAGTGCCTGTATCATTAGGATATACTTTCCATTACCAGACCAATTTTGGTGTTGCTTCTAGGAATAAGTAATTTTCATTTTGAACTTGTCAGATGGCATGTAGATTAAAAGGCTTTCATTTCTTCAGCTTTGTTGCCTTTTTAGATTGCACTGCTGTAGCAATCCTGTGCGCAAGAATGTAACTCGAGGAATTCAATAATATCAGAATGTTGCCTAAATTAATTCCTTGTTCCATTTTTAAAATATCCAAGTTGAGCCTTAGTTTTAAATTGTTACTTCTAGAAGAGTATTCCACAATGTTTATGTGTGAGATGATAGATAGATAAATAGATTGATAGATAGATAGATAGATATCTTGTCTATAAAAATGTCCACAGCATATCCATCGGAAAATCTGGTAAAGGGCTACTTTGTGAGCCTCTTGCAGTCCCTTTGGGGAGAGGAGGTGGGATATAACATGTGAGCAGGGTAGGGCAAATTGAAGACTTTCCTCCTTATGTAGAAACTCCTGGTGCTCGCCTTTCTTCTGTTGCCCAACTGTAATAATTAATGAATCAATCAAAGATCCTTTGAGCTAGGTCTTATCTCTTTGCTCTCACACCTCATCACTTGGAACTGCTCTGCATACCATAAGTGTTTGATGCTGTTAATTGTTTGGTGCTGAAAATTGCTTCCAAGAGCTGTCCCTCTCTACCCCCATCCATTCGAATTTCACTTTAGTCTTACAATACAGCCTCTAGCTTACATAGGAATTCTGTTAAAATTTGAAGATGCGACAGTTGGCATAGTTATCATTACAAAACATATGTGTATCTCTATTTGGATGCTATTGTGTGTTGGTAATGGAACATTCAGTAGAAAGAGTGTTCCAACAATGTGAAAGGCAGTAAGTAAAACTAATTTAGTATCTAAAAGCCTCCAGTGACTATTTAATTGTATGGGAATGCCAAGTTTTGATGTATTAGTATGAGTTCCCATTAGTAAACAGAGCTCAAAGCCTTCCTGACACCAGTTTCCCTGGAGCTTTGTAGTTGCATGCTAATTGCCAAAACTGTCTTCCAAAAACACTACATGTAAATGGCATTTGCAAAATAAAAAACAATACAGAATTTTTTTTGGGGGGGGGATATACTCCTTGCTTTTCATATGGCTTTATTTTGTATGTGTATTTGCAAATAATAATCTTTAAAAACCCAAGTTACTGATGAGTAAAAGGTATTCAGAAGATCGTCTCATCAAAGGAGTTGGTCTGTGCATGTCTAAAATGAGAGAGAGAGAATGACAGTGACAGTCTTATCATCATGGTTTAGTTACAGTGGCTGATAACGTTTGGGCTTCATGATCTCATCATGCTGTGGAGCTTGACAGGGGTAAAACTGGGCAGCTATGGTAGACTCTATTATTGGACATATCTCTCCCTCAAAAGATTTTGCTCTTTGTGAGATGATCATAGGCTTTCTAAAGCTGATCTGTTCTTTTTATACATTGATAATAGACAGTACAATACAATTTCTTTTATACTTGTTGATTCCTTGGGTTCTTGATTCCTGATTATGAACAGATCAGTTTTGTGGGCATTTTTGGGGATGTGGTTGCCTCTACACTTCCATTAGGTTTCATACAGCACTAGTAGATATTGTAATGTTCACTTACACTATTTAACTTGTATTATTCCAATACAATATGCATATTATATACCGTGTCCTATCTTTTCGTTACACCAAAACCAAGGCAATATATGTTCCCCAGGATCTGTATTTGTAGGTTCATTTATGTTAGTGTTAGCGTTAGTAGCCCACATAATGACTTAGCCCCTTTTAACTCTAAGTGTGATAAAAATAACTCATAAAAGAAACACATGGATCTTTTGCTTTAAGTAGAAATAAAATGAAGTTCTATTCACTACATACAAAACAGGATGGAAGAATTGCTCTCTCCAAAATATAATAAAAACAATATTTTCAGTGAGTCCTCTTCATTCAACAGCGATAGGCAGACATGTAACAGAATAATATACAGTCTCTCTTACTTAGTTGTCCATAGATTAACCTTTTCTTGCCATAAACAAACAAACAAATCTTCAGGATGCTGCAGAACTGCTCCCGGCACCAAATAAAGGCTTTTCAGCTCAAAACGAGCCCTCAAGCAATGCTTAGAACGCAATCCTCAAAGTTTACAAACACTTAGTACCTTACTATATACAGGAACTAATAATACACTCAATTAAGCCATAACAGAATGCCAAACAAAATACATCCTGTCTAGGCATTTTCTCAGTCCTCCAGGGTAACTTTATGGTATTGTGAGCCATAGGTCCTGCATATCAATGGGCTTCACTCTTATCTGTATCCAGAAATGTATTCCACACAGATAAGGGGGTCACGCTGCATAATATCTTATTTTTCTTCTTAAAATGGGAAGCAATTTCTTAAGCTAACAGCTTCAGGCAAATTGTTTTAATGTTTAAAATATGCTAGATTTTTGCACCTCCTGTGCTTGATCCCGCTTCCCCTGCCATTTGACCATGCAGATTCCTCCTCTGTGTGCAAGTAGATGCTTCAGAGCTGCATGGATGAACTTACTGTTTGTAATTCCTGAGGGTTTGCATTGGACTCCACAGCTTCTTTTGTAGGGAGCACTTGTTAAAGAATCACAGATGCATGTGGTGTGATGGTTAAAGAGCTGGATCAGGGCCCAGGAAATACAGGGTTCTTGTTCCCACTAAACCATTAAACTCATTAGGCAACATTGGATCAGTCATTTTGTCTTGGTTTGACCTTTCTGACAGGGTTACTATGAGGATACAGTGGAGAAGAGAATAAGATCTTGAGTTTACGGAAAGAAATAAACAACAGAAATTAGTAGACTGGAACTTTTTGGAACTGATTGCCAAACTAGAACATTGAAATGCTTATATGCATACTAAAACATGTATGCCATTTGTCCTGGAGAAATAGAAATGGGAAGAAGTTTAGTTAGCACATTTTGGATTCTGGTTTTATCTCCCTGTTACTCTGCATTAGCAATGTTTTAAAATTCCTATTGAGTGTATTAAATAAGAAACTAACATATATTTTTACAATATTTTATAGGACACCTCTAGGACAATTTCAAATAGATGTAAAAGGTAAGTAAGTCTACTTGATATATCATTTAAAAATGAAATATGTACACCAGGGATGCTCATGTGTACAGAGTCTGGGGGCTATTTTTTTTAAAGCATATGTGGTCATTTTTTCCAAAAAGCAGTAATGTCAGGGTGCTATTATTAGTATTATTTCTGTTTAGAGGTCATTGGGAGTGGGAAGTCAACATTTGTGTATACAACCATACTTCTTAGCAATATTTTTAGCCAAATTTGGTTTTTTATCTCTTTGTTTATCTCTCCCTCAGCAATCCTTGATCATCCTTTTTTTAAAGCAAATGTCAGCATAGAAAAGACCTGAAAATCAAATGCTTGTATTTACAAAAGTAGTGTAATAATAGAACAACCAATATAATCCCCATTATATAGATTATAAGGGGCCATGGTGGCGCAGCGGGTTAAACCGCTAAGCTGCAGAAATTGCTGGCCAGAAGGTCGGTGATTCAAATCTGGGGAGTGGGGTGAGCTTCTGCCAACCTAGGGGTTCAAAAACATACAAATGTGAGTAGGTCAATAGGTACCGCTATGGTGGGAAGGTAACGGCGCTCCATGTAGTCATGCCAGCCACATGACCTAGAAGGCATCTATGGACAATTCCAGGTCTTCGGTTTAGAAATGGAGATGAAATGGGGAAACATTTACCTTTTACATTTTAAGCATCCTCAATGCCTGCAGGCCAGAGAATCTCATCTCTGCCCCAGCAATCTACTTGAAGTAAGTTGGGAATCTCTTCCACCTTACTCAGCTGTTGACAACAAGCCATGTATGTGCATACAATGGGCATGCCATGCTCCAAGCATCAGCATTTTGATCTTGGAAGTATTGCAAGCTGGATGGGTTTATATGGCGGGAGGATCCAAGCTCTCGTATCACTCCACAGTAATAAAATAATGATGGTGGTGGTGGTGTTTATGATGATAAAAACAATTATTCCCGAGAAAAATATATCCGCTGAAACAAGAACAATCCTCACTCCTTACCAGTAATTTTGAGATTGAATTTTAATGTGATCTGTTCCTCCACTCCTTCATTTTTACCTTCTTTGCTAACTTCTTAATTTGGAGCATGGACTAGGGACCTCATCACTCTAGAGCATTGATCCACTTTAAATCTGGTTGCTGTGTCCTGCAGAATTCTGGGGTTTGTAGTTTAGGGAGGGGCCTCAGCCAGACAGGTCCTGGACCTCACTAAACTGCAAATTCTAGAATTCTGCAGGACACAGCAATTAGATGTAATGTGGATCCGAGCTGTAGTGTGATGAGGTAGTAAGTCCCCTATGTGGAGGGAGGTAAGAGGGGAATAGTAAGTATTCTCTTAGAAATTACTAGGATATTAGCTGGTAGTTGTCTCCTTTAGACAGCCAGGAGATACATGCTACTTGTAAATGAAAAGTCATGGCCTTTCTGATACCATGACTTATGGTCGCACATGTATCAGGCTAATATTTATATTATATTGGAAATTCCATAACCTGGAAATAAGTGCATCATAAACTTATCAAAAAGGTAAAAATGATGTCACATCAGCTTGGCAAATGTGAATCTCTATGAACATAAAGACCACCTTTTGAAAATTACTAGTCAAAAATGCATGACCTTGTTAGAAGTCAACTCTTTGAACAAGTTTTATTCATAAGCATTCATGTAATGGCACACAGGTAACTCAGCCATTAAACTGAAGAACCATGTCTTTAAACTACCAAGAATAAAAACATGCCACTACAAAAAATATATTTGGTTAGCAGAGTTGCAATTGCCCAAAAAGATATACACTCCCTTGAAACCGCATAGTTAAAATATGCACTCAATAAACAAAACAAAGTAGTCTTCTTTAAAAATAACACCTCAGGTTTATTAACAAACTTCTTGTATATATTCTGCATACTTGAACATAGTCCAATGTCTTTAAGCATATAGATATAGTCCAAACTGTATAACTGTACTCACTGAAGTGTGAAGTCATACTTCGCTACTAAAGTCCAAACAGCAACATGCATCCACCTCCACTGAGGTCTGATGCAAACTGTACTCACCGAAGTCTGAAACTGCAATCCACCTCCATTGAGCATACTAAATACAAAATAGAGTCTTGTGTCTGAAGCCACACCAAACCACACCAAAGAGGTACAGTCAAACTGGCAAACCAAAATATACATACAATATGGGTTAACAATTATACACATTTACAAACAGTTAGTGGAGGCTTGGAAGGTTGCTATGTCCAACATATTATTTCCAACATATTTCCAACATGCTATTTCCAACATTCATCTATCTTACAATTCAATACACAAAAAACCAAAACAAAAATTCTAGCTAAGCATGGTTATTGCTCTAGATCTGCCACGGACATGTGTTTAAAAGAAAATACAATTATACCTAACGAAACATTGTATGAAGGTCTCCTCCAAGTCTTCTATTCAAATCACTAGAGAATTAGTGAAGTCTTTTAACTATATTAGATATGCATATTGAAACATTGATATTTACATTGCAAATGAAAAAGGGGACCTGTCTGATCAAAGTAACAGTTTCAGTGTTTCAAAATATATCTCATTAAACATTTCACATAAGTTTGTAATCTTGTATCACGGAAATAATTCATATTGAGCTTTTTTCAAATAAAATGCAATGAAGACTGTAAAATGTGGTTAGCACATTCAATATTCAGCTGAAATAGTTTTGAAAGATCACAGTTAAGTTAACTTATGCATAAACGTGCAGGCAGCCTGTGCTAATGAACCCATATCTTCTATAAATCCACATTGAACTTCAGTTGATAATGAATGGCACTAATTTGATAGTACCCTTATTTTCTAACCAGAAATTGGGAAAGACAAGTCAAGTAACATTTTATTTATTTATTTGCCATATTTCTGTCTCACCCTACTCACCCCAAAGGGGACTCAGAGCAGTGCACATAAAGGCACAATTCAATACTATACAATACATACAAAACATATCCAGCAAATAAATATATATACATTTAAACACCCACTAAAAACATTTCAACATTAAAATTATTAAAATCACACAATCTAATATCATAGCCCAGGCCATTCCAGGTATCATTGCACCATCCCATATTCACATATTGCACTTTTCAATTATCCAAAAGCTTGGTCCCACATCCACGTTTTCACTTTCTTTCTGAAGGCCGGGCAGGAGGGGGTTGATCTAACATCACTAGGGAAGGAGTTCCACATGTGAGGGGCCACCACTGAGAAGACCCTGTCTTTCTTCCTCACCAATTGTGCCTGTGAAGGAGGCGGGACTGGAAGCAGGGCCTCCCCAGATGATCTTAAACTTCGAGATGGTTCATAGAGGGAGATGTGTTGGGATAGATAAGCTGGAACCATTTATTGATCTATTGATCTATGTTGCTGTATCTACATACTATTATCACGATCTAGACCTTTGAACTTTTCCCATTCCTATTCTTTTGGTCATATCAGTAACAGCTAATTGTTTTAATGTGATTACGTCTTATTTTGCCAGTGATGTTTGAATGTCTGTAGTGGAGATATTAGTTACATGTATACAACGAGAATGGTCCTTTTCTGTAATAATTAGACTTTCTTTATGTTTTCATTTTTGTTTGAATGGCCTCTAATTTTTATTTAATACCAAAGTATCTCACATTTTACTTTATCTTTCTTTATGTTTATTCTGGCCAAGTAAAGAAATTATTTGTAGGAAGATTTAGGGGTTCATTTTTACTACTTGGTAACATGAGTGCATACACATACCTTTAAAACATATTGTCCCTTTAAAAAACCAAACTTGGACTCTTTTATGTTTGTTTAATGTCCCTTGCAAATCTAATCAAAACAAGCTAGGATTGTTCCTGTTCTGCAAATGTGTAATTTTTTGAAGGGAGGGGGGAAGCAAATAAGCTTTCTTAAAAAATGAAACATTGAGCTATCTTGTTTCTTTTACACTGTTCAAATGGAGTAGCTTTGGAAGGTTACATTACAAAGTTTCTGTTGTGTTGCAACATGCATATCCTGTTGTTGGAAAGAGTTATGTCTTTCTTTTCTTTTCTTTTTTTACAAAAGTCATACTAGATTAGGCAGTGCCAAATATGGTAATCATGTTAAGCTGCAGAATTCCTTACAATTGTGTCATTGTGGCTTGAAAGTTTTTCTATTATACTGTAGCCCATAGTTAGTTACATATTTATTGGTCCTTGTTTTCTTTTAATATAAAATACACAGTCCTATATAATACTCTCAAATATATTCTCAGGTAAAAGCACTACATGAAAACATGCTATAGAGTTGACTGAATTCATTTGATGCACCTGTTTGCATGTAGGTAGTCCCCAGGTTACAAACAAGATAGATCCTATAGGTTTGTTCTTAAATTGAATTCGTATGTAAGTCAGAACAGGTACATTTTTTTCAGTGTAACTCCAGCCATATGACTGTGTGTGTGTGTGTGTGTGTGTGTAGAGAGAGAGAGAGTAGAGTCTCGCTTATCCAACATAAATGGGCCGGCAGAACATTGGATAAGCTAAAATGTTGGATAATAAGAAGGGATTAAGGAAAAGCCTATTAAATGTCAAATTATGCTATGATTTTACAAATTAAGCACCAAAACATCATGTTTTACAACACATCGACCGAAAAAACTGTTCAATACATGGTAACGATGTGTAGTATTTACTGTATTTACAAATTTAGCACCAAAATATTGAAACAGCTGTGGATCTGGGTGGGAGGCAGATTGCATTGGATAATACAGAACATTGGATGAGTGAAGGTTGGATAAGTGAGGTTCTACAGTATATATGCATGCTTTGGACAGCATAGGACAGGGGCTAACACCCCTGTGGTGTATGTTTTGCTGTCTGTGCCCCGTCCAGATGATTTCAGCATGCTTTATGTCCCTGTAACAATTGGATTTAGAAGATTTGGCTTGTTGTGGAAACAAGGATTGATGATAATATTTCAGTGGAGTGATGATAAAATTTCAGTGGAGACTGTTTTTCCCCATGATAACTCTTTCAGGTGTAAATTCTCTCCCTAGAGGTAGATAGCCACTCTGAGTTGCCCCTCCCCCGGGGGTTGAGAAGAGCAGGGTAAAAATGCTGTAAATAAATAAATAAATTTCCCTCACTTCCTGTTGTCTCACCCCCATTCTTAACTATGAGCCATTTGTAAGTCAGATGTTTGTAACTCAGGAACTGCCTGAGTTAGCTTAGATCTACACACTGGAGTTTACAGTCTTAACATGAGAGTTGTTGATCTTTTGTTTGTTATGCAGTGAGGCAGAGGAGAAGATCAACAGGTGTTCCTTCTCTCCGCATATGCTAGATAAAATTGTAAATACAATAATAGACTCTCACCTAACTCATAAACTGTAATTGTCAAACAACCAGCAAAAAAAAAATCAAATAAATAATACTACATAACTGATAAATTAAGTTGCATTCTTAATTTGCTTTAAATTATTATGTTTCAATATTAATATGAATACAGAGTTTATGGTATGGTATAGTATGGGGCATAAGACATTAATTAGGCCTATTTTTAATAGTAACTCTCAAGCCACCAGAAATTACAATTTTACTACCAATCTCCTTGAAGCTGGTCAGCTGAGAGTCTATTGCAATGAATTTTAGTGGGCCATTTCGCTGGTAAGAGTGTGCCCTAAAGCAACCTCTTCTTATTAGAAAGGGATATGCAATGTGTGGCCCTCTAGATACTGTTGAACAGCAGCTCCTTTAATTATTATTATTATTAATAATAATAATAATAATAATAATAATTTTTATTTATATCCCGCCACCATCTCCCCAAAGGGGACTTGGGGCGGCTTACATGAGGCCAAGCCCAGTAGTGCATTACAACAGAATAAAACCAAAAACACAGAACAAACAACACAATAAAATAAATAAAACTTAATTATACAAGAGAACAGTGCAAAAATACAGTAAAGGATCCATCACAATCACAGTGAGCGGGCCACATGTACAGGATAAAATGATAAAAACTCAGGATGAGATAGAAATGAAATATTTGTGAGGAAGAAACTCATTGGAAATGGAGTAGTGGAAACAGGCCTTCAAAGAGGCAGGGGGAAGTACAATATGGGGACAAATATTTTGGGAGGAATGAACAAAAGGAGATGTAAAGTCACTCTACATTGACCATGGCTGATGGGAACTGCAGTCTGGAAACATCAGTTAGCTGAAATGTTCCCCATCTTTATTTTGTGAAGGACCAGACTGGCTCAACAATAGCACTGTGCCTTAACAGTCATGAAGCAAAAAGAAGCAAATTAGACATGGAGGCTAGTATCAGACAGAAGTAGTCACAATAATAACACCAAAGGCATGAGACCTATGTGAGAGACACACATGTGACTTAACAAATAAAGTATAATTGTTTCCCTTTCAAGGTGTTTTTTCAAGCCTGGGATTATTGTATGTGCACATCAGATTTCATCTGCCCTATTAAAAGCAGTTATATATAATTTTCCAAGGTTAAAGAAAAAAAAAGGCCTGGGAAAATGGGCAAGTTCCCTTCTGCACAGTTGGTTCTTTTTAAAAGAAAATGAAACAGGGGAATGACTTTTTCATTTTGAGAAAGAGCTAAAAGTCATTGTTTATAGACTCACTTTGGCTTGGATAATGACCACTATCAAAAAGAGAGGGAAGTGTCATATTATATTTGCTGATTTTCATTTCATCAGGATTTTAGATTCTAACTTGTATTTTTACACAGCACAACAAACACGTCAGATGATGATGTTTCTAGTAGATTTTCACGAGCAGCAGACAGAACAGGATATAACAGATATAACAGAGATACAAATTCCTCTGGGAACATCATACCAAACAATTCTTTGGAAAAGAAGATTGAAGAACTTGAAAAGGTAAGATTCATAAATTTATAATCTCATGTGTCGTCACCCCCCCCAATTCCATTTTGCCCTTAAATCATCATTTAAATCTTAAATCTATCATGGGTCCATCAGGCTGGTCCATGAGGTCACGAAGAGTGACTGAATGAACAATCAACAACAGTCATAGGTTACCTAGGGATGCTTTTTTCAAATGTTTTCTGTGACTTTTTAGAAAAGGGCATAACCAAAGTTACTACTGAGGCCTTTGTTTTTCTATCCACCTGAAAAAGTGAAAATATCCATAGCAAAAATCCTGGGTGGATGATGATGATGATTTTTAATTTATATACCACTTGTTCTCTCCACAAGGAGACTCAAAGTGACTTACATTAAAATTATTAGTCTAGAAGGAGCTGGTCCTTGAGCAAACCAAGTTCCAGATTGTTTGGATTTTGTAGATCAATTTTCAACATAGAATTTATCTGCTTCTATAAATCAGTGGTTCCCAACATGTGGTGCATGGACCACCAGTGGTCCTCAAGAACTAAAATATGGTCTGTGATCTCACCATTCCTACACTGGTCTCGCAAAACCCTCTTCTAGTGCAGAGGCAATGGGGATGTCGGGAGGGGAGGTGCTGACTGCCCATGAAAGGTGTGACAACAAGCCTACTGACTGTTGCTTCTCCTTCTCCTCCTCCCTCCCTGGAAGACACCTGGAATGGAGGGGAGAGGAAGCACCTTGGTCTCTTCCTTTTTAGGCCTGTTCCTGGGGTTATTTGAGCTGCTGATTGAGAAAATTGCATTGGATAGAACACATCAGCTCGAGATTATTAAATATGGTTTTCTGTGGGTGAGCAGATAGTGACTACTGGATTTTTTTCTGTGTCAGGAGCGTCTTGAGAAACTGGATGGTATATGTTCTATATCAAAAACTAGAGCTTATGTAATTTATCCAATGCAATTTTCTCAATCAGCACACCAAATAATCAAATCAAATCTAAAGTTGACCAAAAACTGATTCGTAACCCTTTTGGTACTAATGTTAGAGAGTGGCCCCTTATCAAGAGGTCCCTAGTCAAAAAAAGGTTGGGAACCACTACTATAAATAGTCTTCCTATGCTATCCTGCCTGTTGTGTATTGCAGTGATGTAACTAGGTTATTGAGCATATATATGAGAGGGAGTCACATTCATTTCAGTAGGACAAAGAGTTGTGTTCATTGTTCTTAAATTAAGTGTCACAAATTCTGTTCTCTGAAGGAGCTAGCAAAAGAGAGACAAGAAAACCTAAGGCTCGTAAGAATAGCACAAGACAAAGAAGAGCTGATTGGGAAACTGAAGGAGGAAATTGATTTATTAAACAGGGTAAGTACTTATTTGCTGTGCAAAGATGAGAAAATAAACATACTTTATGATTTTAGGACCGGTTCCCACTGTCATTGTGTGATGGATTCAGTTCTGGAGCTAATTTCAATGGCAGTATGAAGTTACTTATGAAGTTACATTTTTGTCTCTCTCATCTTTCAAAGAGTTCAGGTGGCATGATGCTTCCCTCTATAGTGGTACAGTTATGCTCACCAATAGGATCTTGACCTTGGTGCTCCTGATATGTTTTACATAGAGCTTGGGAAAGTTACTTTTTTTTGGACTACATCTCCCCAAATCCCCCAGCCAGCATAACCATTGGCCATATTGGCAGTAGAATCCTGGAAATTCCACTAAAAAGTAGACTTCCACATTTTGTCCTCGCAACACTATTGAGAGCTACGCTATGCTACAAATATGTGACTGACTAAATATTACTAAATATTACTTAATTAGTTCTCTGGTCAAACAAGAATTTGAACCTGTTGTTTTCTTGGACTGAAACCAATTCCTGAAACCAATTCCTCAATATATATCATATTGCTTCCAGGAGATAATTTCCAGTAGCTCTTAAATGTGTTATGGATAGCAATAGAAAAAGTTGCTATTTGGAGCTTCTCAATAATCATGCTGGTTGGAGGTTTGGAGAAGTAAAATCCACTCTGGATTTTATTGCTGCTCCTACTGCAACAGACTATAGTCAAACATCAGCAGAGCTTGTGTTCAACTTGAAGCAGTGGGTAAATCCAGAATTACCTGTATAATGAGTCCACAGGCCACATTTTAAAACACCAGCTGAACCATTCACTCAGTGGGAATCAAACTCATTTTTCCAAGCTCTACAAGAGAAATGGTGCTTTTACCATCACATGCAGACAGGTACATGTTGTATCAGCCCATTCAAAAATCCAGACCTGTAAGAAAAGATATATCCAAGGTAATATTAGCAGGAGGACAGGCTGGAAGGATGGTGGACTCCTGGCATTAGATATCAATTGAAAAGTCAGTCCTTAGTATAGTTGAAATGTAATGTCATCCTGTCCTAGAACAAGAAAAAGGTGAATGGACAAAATTTGATTTTTTATTTAAGAATTCACTATAGCAAGTAAATGTGTGTTTTGAAAATAGTTAATTTAATCACACAAAAAATAATGCTTTTGTGTGATGATTTCTTCTGATCAGCTTGGAACCATTGCAGTACATGGCCGATACTTCCTTAATTAAGCCTGGAACTTACACCATGCTGATGTTCCTTCAAATAGCCAGTGCAAAGGGGATTTAGTTCAGGGATACAAGAAACCATGGCTGAACACACTCCCATGTTATTAAAAGGGCAGCAACATCAATGTGTAGGTTTCACTAGAAATCACAGATCAGGATCCTGTGGATCCAGAGGACCCACTGTATTCCTTTTTGAAACCAGACATACCACTTTCAGTTTAGTGAGAAACAAATGCTGTATATGATTGACTATTTTGCTTCCTTTTGAGTTGAGTATTTAAATTCCAGGCAATTGTTGTGGTTGGGCCACATCCAAGTAGCTCATACTTCCAGTCATTTTTGGAATGTTATTATTACGCATAAACATTCCACAGAGTCTTTATATATAATTTCTGGGTGAATTTTAAGAATTTCTGTCTGTAGTCCTTAAAGTTATTGTTCTTAACTGTATCTCTGCCACCCATCTTGATACTGTATGTCTAACTCAAGAGAGCCAGACCAAAAAAAAAAAAAAAAAAAAAGGTAAGGAAGACTCTTGTTATAATGAAAAGATGATTACATTCCTCTTTGTTTCCTACTATGTACAACTTTTAAAAAGTATGTCATGAATACAGTTCATGCTTTCTAGATACAACATGGAAATAGTTGCTCACCCCAGACTTCCATCTTTGCAACGCTTCTGTGTTTTTCAAATATAAACCATTCATATTACTTTGTAAAATAGTTTTGCTAACCACTTTCTATGAGACTCAAGAGAAGACATTGCAACTGAATGTGGTTTCTCAGAAGAGATACCACTTACCTTTTTGACTGAATATTTTATTTGTGTTGGTGCTTCAAAACCCCACTCCAAAATGCAGGGCAATGGGATAAGAGTTCCAAATGTGATTCTCCTTTTGCTACTCATTTTTCATGCAGTTCACTCCCTAACATTGTTATCAATTTACTCATTATATTTTGATACTGCGATGACCTTTAGAACCTAGCTTCTCTTCCCTTCTAAGTGAATGGATGTTATCAGGAAGTTAAAAAAAGTTAAACATTCTCAGCATACAACAGTTTAAGAGGCAATTAAATTATCAAAAAACATAACCGCTCTGAGTCGCCTGCGGGCTGAGAAGGTGCGGTACATAAATATAGTAAATAAATAAATAAATAAACCAGATGAAAACATAAACAACAAATAAAAGTCCAGCACATTATATAAGACCTGTTTTCCCTTGAACAGTGGTTCTCAACCTTTGTGGGTCCCCCAGATATTTTGGCCTTCAACTCCCAGAAATCCTAATGGAAATTATTTTTCAGTGTGTAAACTTGAAATATAGTGACTATGGTGACCACTGGCTGTCAATAAGTTTCCAGTCCCAATTCAAGGTGCAAGTTATGACCTACAAAGCCCTAAACAGTTCGGGCCCTACCTATCTTCATGATCGCATCTCCCCCTATGAAGCGGTACGGGCTCCAAGATCAGCCGAGGAGGTCCTCCTCTTGCTTCTGCCTCTGTCACAAGAATGGTTGGTGGGGACAAAGGACAAAGTCAGTGCCCCCTGACTTTGGAACACCCTACCCAGGAAGATTAGGCAATCCCCCTAACTTTCCTCCTTCTGTAGGGACCTAAAAACTTGGATGTCTCAGCAGATTTTTTAAGAATGACTAGTCTCCAGGCCTAGTCTCTAGATTGCCAGTTACTACTCTGTTCTGCACTTTCTCTTCTTCTCTGGTCCTATGATACACTGTTTGCACTATCCGTTGCCCATCCCTTTTTTAGTTCACCTTGCCCATTTTGTAGTCCTAGCCATTGGTTTTATTGAACCTTGTCCAGTGGAATTATAATTGCAATTGGTTTAAAATTTTATTGTTGTGTTCTAGTATGATTTTTGTGTTTTATGATGCTTATATTTTAATCTGTCTGTATGATTTTCTTGTTGGCAATTGAATGTTTTGCCTTATATGTTGGAAACCAACCTGAGTCCCTTCGGGGAGATAAAGCGGAATAATAATAATAATAATAATAATAATAATAATAATAATAATAATAATTTACATGCCTCAAGCTTGTTTTCCAGCCTTCTTCCTGTATGGTGTACCATTGCTTTACTCTCATACATAATGTATTACAACACAGGTCATTTGACAAAGTGTTACACCTTTTTGTGTTTTCTCTCAAAGGATTTAGATGATATAGAAGATGAAAATGAGCAATTAAAGCAAGAAAATAAGACACTCTTAAAAGTTGTTGGACAGCTGACAAGGTAGAAGATAGAAGCCTCAATGAGGAATGAAGTATGAAAACTACTGATTGAATGTTTAAAGATCAAGGGGGTAGAATATTTCCTTTACTGCAATATGTCAACACAACTGTCTTTGTATTTATTATTAAGAGAGGGAGGAGAAATAATGAATGTTTGACGTAATGCTTTCTTCATTTGGTGTAATAAAACCAAGCATTATAAGTGCTTCTAAACTCATTCCCTTGTATTGCCCAAGATAACTAATTCAGATACTGACTTCTGGAAAGCAACATGTTCTTGAATTTTCTATGTGTAACTTTAGATTATATGTATATAGCCCAGTTTTTTTAAAACTACCTGATCAACAAGATGACACTTTGTTCTGTATGGATATACTACTTATGGGGGTTGCTCGCCTTCCCTAAATGAAAGGAAGTAATAGGAGTAAACTTTGTTTACATGGATTCAAAGTATATATTTTGGGAGAGATTTCCTATTTGTGTAACAGTTGTAAAGTGTGGGTGCCTTACTATAGTATTGATCTGAAATATTTTAGAAATGGGTTATTCTACAAAAAAAATCTTGTATTTTGTGATTTTATTTTTTACTGTATCTGAAATGTTGACAACAGTAGATAGTATTTTTCTTGTATAGCTGCTCTTTGACAGACAGACATTTTATAAAATATCTGTAAATCACACCTCCCTTTCTCCACCAATAATTGCCAGTGTCGTTTTTAGGAAAATGCCCATACTGTGGGTAAATCACAATGCTTTCTTGGTCCACAGGAAAAGGGGGTACTTTTTTAAAAGAGTATTTTTCTATCTGCAATAAATGAAGGCCTGGTTCTGACAGGAAAAAATACATCTGGATCTCCACATTTGCGGGTTTAACTTTTGCAGATTTGCTTATTCACATGTTTGATTAATATGTTCAGTCGTGTTGGAAGATGTAGAGATTCCTTGAGAGAACACTTCTAAGTATAATTCTTTTGTCAACCTCCACTGGACATTAACCACAGAGTTGCACTGGAGTATCCAGAGATTCCCAGAGAAGTGTCTCACATTAAAAAAAGGTTTCTTGTTTTGAAAAAAATGTTGTTCTAATACTTTGGTTGGGGGAGGGGGGCAAGGTGGGAGAGAGAGTCCCGTGCTTCTGATCCCCAGGAAAGTGGAGGGCCTGTTAAAGTGCTTTATTGGACTCCAAACAAGAAGTTCTCCTGGTTTACTATGTAGTGCTTATTGATTTGGATGCAAAAGAAAACTAAAGCTTAATAAACTCAGGGGAAAGGCAAAATATAAGTTTTTAATCCAATGAACAATATTGGTTAGATGAAGACTATGATATCTAATCAGAGACTATATGATAATGGCATGTTGTGGTGTGCTTGGGAGATTTCTCTAATGCTAGCATCAAGCTATAATAAATCAAGGATGCCACATTCATTCTAAAATGGATGCATCAGGACCTTGCTTGATTCATATAATTTGTTGACGACTATAGTTTACAAAAGGGAAGTTTGCGATTTTGGAGTCCTCTAAAAGTATTAAAAGAAAAACATCTGTTCTAGAACAGCACTGATTCTTGTTGAAATAAAGTACACTACATGTCCAGTTCTGTTATACATCAATATCATTTGTCTGTATTATCATTTTATGTTATGAACAATGGAATAGTTAAACCACTGAAAGAATTAATGTATTTCCAGAATTCCAAGCCATTTTTAAACTTGAGTCAGCTCTGTGGTCTTCAAGAATATGAAATATGTCCTGCATAACCAGTTCCTGTTGAGTGCAGCACCTGTGATTTAGAACAGACACAAAATGTAAAAATCCTTTAGAAAGAAAGCCTTTAGAAGTTTCCATGTCATCTTAGTGCACTGATTCTTAAAGTGTGTGGTATGAAAACTACCATGTTGCATCAACTCCCCTCTGAGGGGGGTCTTCCTGTCCAAAATTACTCTTCTTTCCTTGCCAATGCATTGGAAATAACATTCTTAGTTCCCTCTCAAGGGAAGGATTAAGAGAGTACAGGGAACCACAATGCAGGCTATCCCACCACTGGCAGGTATGAAGAAATCTAAGAATATCACCATCATTCCAGTGTTCTGTATGACTCAAAAGAAGGGGTAGAGTCTCAGCTATCAATATTTCCTAGTGCAACATATCTCTACTTGGTGCCCTCTAGCTATCATAATTGCCACCCAACATCCAAGGTATTGCACACATTGGGATGATGGAGGCTGAAAGCGCCATGATGGGAAAAGTATGTCACAGCACTGATTCAGCCATGTTCTTAATTAACAGCCACTTTTCAAGGCAGTGGGCAAAGAGGTATTTTTTGTCTTGCTTCCTGAATATTGGACCTGAGACTGTCCTCTTGCAGCCGTTGCCTTGCCAGTTTTTTAGCCTACGAAGCTTCATACTGTGGTACTCCTTCAAATTCAGGTTAATTGTAATGAATTTCAGTGGCAGCTAAAAGGCTACATTTTTCCTAATTTTGGAATGTTGACTGTTTCATAAATTGCACATGTTTTGACAGTTTGTACAAATGAATCATTTCAAAAGATGCACATCATTCCGGGTATTTCCAAATGGTACAGCTAGATTTTTCCACAGAAATGACAGATTGATTATATGGATAACTTCAATTAAAACTTGCTTATAAATAAAGAATGTCAACTACCTTGATTGCTTTTCTTCCTGTTCATACTGTGTGGATTTTCTTCCACAGTCCTGTTCTATGTACTTTTAAGAGGCAAACACTGCATCCAAAGAAGTGTTGCTTACATGGCAACAGTTTGCAGTAGAACGCCCACATGACAATTTGGTAGCCAAAAGTGTTTTCTTTTTTGAACAATATTCAAAAGACAACGATGAATGCATAGCCCATTATTTAAATAAGCAATGTACTGATCCGTTGTCATTAAACCGTCAGTTGTACTTGTGGACAGAGTTTATTAGATGATGTGTGAATACATTTCAAACCAGAGGTGTGTGCCTTGTTGACTACCAGAAATATTTTCTATTACATCAGCACAATTAGGAGCCTATGTATTGCACAAGGTAAACGTAAGAAAAAATATTCTTTCATCTTTTCAAAAATCATTCTTGAAATGAATTGCTCTCATTGTGTTGCACGTGTGTGTGTGTATGTATGTGTGTGTGTGTGTGTGTGTGTGTGTGTGTGTGTGTGTGTGTGTATATATATATATATATATATATATATATATATGCGCAGTGGGTTAAAGCGCTGAGCTGCTGAACTTGCTGACCAAAAGGTCACAGGTTCAAATCCAGGGAGCAGGATGAGCTCCCGCTGTTAGCCCCAGCTTGTGCCAACCTAGCAGTTCGAAAACATGCAAATGTGAGAAGATTAATAGGTACCGCTCCAGCAGAAAGGTAACAGCACTCCATGTAGTCATGCTGGCCACATGACCTCAGAGGTGTCTATGAACAACACTGGTTCTTAGGCTTACAAATGGAGATGAGCACCAACCCCCAGAGTTGGACATGAGTGGACTTAATGTCAGGGGAAAACCTTTACTATCTATCTATCATCTATCTATCTATCTATCTATCTATCTATCTATCTATCTATCTATCAATCATCTATCTATCTATTTATATAAATCAATTTACTTACCTACCTATCATCCATCATCATCACAAATAAATAGTTGGTGTTCTTCATATTTGGGATGGTAGGGGGAAGAAATAACAGACAAGCAGTATTGTTTTCAAATCTGGTATGTGATGATGATAGTTTCTTTGAGGCACCAAAACCTCAATTTTATTGAAATCCATTTCAGTATACCTTTAGTTTCCTTACTGTGGTAAAGGCATTCTACTACATGAAGCAAAGCAGCAGTAGTATTATGTTTTGTTTTGTTTGTTTGTTTTTTTTTTTTAAAAAAAACCAAACAAACATTACTCCAAGCAGTAGGAACAGTAAGTGTGCTTTGTGGTCTCTATGTCTCACATAAATAGGATCATTCTGTCCCTGCACAGCTACACCTTTAGAAATTTACAGAGCTAAGCAGTCTTCCAGCAGAAGATCAACCACCACCACCTCATAGGCTCCTGGCACCATCTTCCTTAATTCCCTGAGTTCTTTTTCGTCTGCCACATTAGCAGCATCATTGGGAACTCACTCTTGGGCATCTTGAATATACATGAGAGATTCTTATCTTTTTTGTCCTTAGGCTTTCTTTTTGATATTCTTTAGTAATTTCACTGTAGTTTATTGCATTCTATCGTTCCATTTGGCTGTTGGCCTTGTCTGCAAATTGAGTCTGAATTTTCATCAATAGCAGAGAAAGTTTATAATCCCAGGTTTTATCATAACCCTGGGGAGAATGCGGATAAGCTTCCTCTGTCAGCTTCAGCTCACCATGCAGGGAGATGAGAGAAGCCTCCCACAAGGATGGTAAAACATCTGTGTGTCCCCTGGCAATGTCTTTGCAGACAGCCAATTCTTTCACACCAGAAGTGACTTGCAGTTTCTCAAGTCGCTCCTGACATACACACACACACACACACACACACACACACACACACACACACACACAAAATAATAATCATAACCCAAATTGGTAAAACACTTCCTTAGATTTAGATAGGACTGATGATTTCCTGGACACTCAGTGAGATCAACATTCACCAACTATGAAAGAAAATATGGAAAATGATGAACTCTCAACTCCCTTCCAAGACCCTTTGCTAAGGTCTAAACAATTGCCCTTATACCATAAATATTACTGAACTATCACTGATACTATAATAATCCAACATGAACATATTATGTATACCAGATTACCAGGATTTTAAAAAAGAAATGCTAAAATATGCAAATTGATATTAAAATTTTCTTGAAGCTTCCCACATTTAATATTCTCACTTTTGCATATATTTAAGGTAATGAAATGTGCGGTAATTSCTTGTAGTAATTAAATGTGCTGCCTTCCAGCTGTACAATAATATGAAATACCTTATCTCATTGAGACAGCCATCCATAAATATTTCATTTATATATATATATATATATATATATATATATATATATATATGCCCTCTTTTTACCTCTTTGAGGGTGAAACATCCTTTGTTTCTTCTGGAAATATTGTACATGCTTAAAAATATTTTCAAAGTAAGTCTGAATAAGGGTTGTTTTTTTAAAAATAAAATAAAATAATCCTCACTTAGCAGTAATGTTGATATACAGATACTAAATTTTCTTAGTAACAATTATTGCTTTGTATTGAGAGATATACTTCCTGCTAAATTATTTATGTGCACTTTTTTGAATTTTTTTAAGAAAAAGAACCTAAACCACATCCCCCTATGAACTAGAAAAAATATGGCCTACCGTACTTATATTTATCCTCAGAGAAGCAGTACTGTCCAAATTTAGAGTTCACTTCTATTATTTCCAAACACTTGAACTGATATGCCTTAATCCTATGAAATCCTGAAAGCTGTGATTTGTTGAGAAGCTTGGGATTCTTTGCTAGAGAATGAGTGTAAAGTGCAGGACAAACCTACTGATTTGCAAGACTAGCACCAACCTGTTGCTTCACAATCTGTGATAATTTTATTGATCCAGTATGGATCAACCATTCCAACATGAACAAATCTCTGTCTTCAAGACCCAAGGTTTTTTTTTTTTTTGCCTATTCAGGTGTTGGGGATGGAGCAGTTTCCAGAAACTAGAGATTCCTTAGGACTACGAAACAGATGCTTCCTCATAAAATTGTGAGATGGGAAAACAACAGGCTCTGTTACTTCCTACCTTGCCAGGAGTTGCCTGATGTTCTTTGGGAATATGGTCTAAGACGTTTGAGGATTCAACAGAGTAGAGCTTGCTGGTGCACTTGAATGAAAGCTGGGGGATTAAAAAACCTAGAGCCAGCATGGTGTAGTGAGTCCCTTTGGGGAGAGAGGGTGGGTTATAAATAAATAAATGAATGAATAAATGGTTTCAGTACTGGACTAAAGTTCTGGAGAATGGGGTTCAAATCCTCATTTGGCCATGGTAACCCCCTGTATGATTTTAGGCAAATCACAGCCTTTGTGCCTCAGACAAAAGCAATAACAAATCCCAAAAAAACCCATTATAGGTTTGCTTTAGAGCCACCAAAATTCAGAAATTATTTGAAGGTACACAGCAACAACAACAAGAAACCTATGTTAGCCAGATGAGTCTAATAGTGCCAGCATACGTAAATAAGAGAAGGCAAACCACATGCCTGTTGGTCTATGGATAAAACTAGGAAAGTATATGACTTATATTGGAAGATCTGCATAGAAGAATGAATTTAGAGGAAGAAACACAATGAGAAGACAGAACTATCTTGCTTAACAAGAAAACTGACCAGGCTAGGTAGGCTTATACCATGACTGAGCAACAACAGATGGCCCCCACGTGGAGCCTCAGGAGTCTTCAGTCTGCAGGTGAGTCCAGAGGTAACAAGCTTGATTGGTCACTGGCAAGAACTGGGGCCTAGGCTTTTCTTTACGTTAAAGAAAAGAGGGGGTGAGATTTACAAGGGACTATTTATTTTATTTATTTATTTACTGCGCTTATATACCGCAATTCTCAGCCCAGGGGCGACTCATTGCGACTATGACATAAGATGAGCATCACATCTGCAGAATTCTTTTTAACTGGCATCAAGTCTGTAATTAATAATTGAACTGTTAGATCCTGTTACTATTATGATTACTTTTATAATGTCCAGAAGCTGCACCAGCTGGAAAATCATATTCAGGAGGAATGTAGATATTACGAACATAACACTGACCTCATCCCAGAGGATGCCACAGAATTGGAAGACATAGTTCAGGCTCTGCAAAAGCAACTGCTATATCATTGGGAAAGTTAACTGTTAAGTTTTAATTCCCTTTTCTGTTCTTCTGGGAGTCCAATTCAGTGGATTGGATTCCCAGAAGAAGAAGAAGAAGAAGAAGAAGAAGAAGAAGAAGAAGAAGAAGAAGAAGAAGAAGAAGAAGAAGAAGAAGAAGAAGAGGAGGAGGAAGAAGAAGAAGAAGAGGAAGAAGAAGAAGAAGAGGAGGAGGAGGAGGAGGAGGTGGAGGAGGAAGAGGAAGAGGAAGAGGATAAATCACATTAATACACTGGGCCATCTACTTGAGTGACCAAGTCTACTTCCAGGATGAGAATTCATGGAATCAGCTGAATTTGAAGTGTATAATGTTGACAAAATACAACAGCATAGTATAGACTCCTGTGCCCCAGTGCCCACCCTCATGACCAGTCTCCTCATGTGAAATAACCACATGAAGGGAAAAAAGCTGTTCTATCATTGTACCAAACCATACAGCAGATATTCTCAGCAAACTTTATACTCACATCTTGAAGTGGACATTCTTCCAGTTTGCTGGGTTGGATACACACCAGGGAATGCTGAAACTACTTTTCATGAAAGAACTGGAATAAATAGCCAAAACCAATGGTGCCTATAGGCAAGCTCTTTTCACAGAGCTGAAAAACCATAAGAAACATCAGTGGCAGCATGCAGAGCAGCAAGGCAAGAATTTTAAGCTTGTTGTCCTGCAGTGGCCTTTGATGAGAGCTATTGGGACTTTTATGGGACTTCTCACACTTGAAAAAATTTGGAACAAATGCTTTGATTAAAAAGGCAGCTTCTCATCATTGATATTTTACCC